GGAAGGGGAGATGGAGGTGTGGGTGGGTTCCTGGTGGGCCTGGAGATGTGGAGGGATGGGGTGGGCTTTGGGAAGGGGAGATGGAGGCGTGGGGTGGGTTCCTGGTGGGCCTGGAGGTGTGGAGGGATGAAGTGGGCTTTGGGATGGGGAGATAGAGGTGTGGGGTGGGTTCCTGGTGAGCCTGGAAAGGTGGAGGGATGGGGTTGGCATCTTCTGGGCAAGAAGAGGCGGAGGGTTGGGGTGTGCTTGCACTAAGCAAGGGGAGGTGGGAGGGTGACCTGTGCTTGGGGCGGTCCAGGGGAGGTGGAAAGGGTCCTGCTCACACTGAGGAAGAAGATGTAGAGGGATAGGGTGTGCCTGGACAGGCAGAAGCAAGGGATGAGGTGTGCTTGTGGTGGGCAAGAAGACACGGAGGGATGGGTCTGCTCGTTTTTAACCAGGAGATGCTGCTGGCACAGCACTGTGTTGTTAAAGAAGGTGATGGCAACCCTGGCCTTGACCAAGCCATAGGGAAACCAGCGGGCGCGTACCATGGCTGCCCTCGTGTTGCTGGGTTGTCCCTGCGGCAGCACAGTGCCCGCACGGTGTGCTGCTGGCTGGCACACACCGGGGCACGCTTACCTGCGCTTGCTGCAATTTCAGATGTTGCTTTTTACAAGAAACAAGAGCTGGAATTTTAAAGTCTCCCTCTTGACTTTGTGATTGTTGTGCAGCGTTGGGAGAGCTGCCAGTGATATATGAGTCACTCATCTGCCTCCTGTCTCTCAGAGTTGATATTTGGTGTGGTGGCACATGGGATGGACGTTTGTTTTCAGGGGGAAATGAAAACAGCGTGACGTGAAGCACAGATGGGCCAGACATAACAAAGAACTGATCTGTGGCTAAAAGCCAGTAAGTGCCCACCTCTCCCGCCAAAACACAGCTTCAAGAAGGAACAGATGTCATGGTGTAATACAGACCCACAAGGAATTGTCTAGAAGCTCCTTCCTGTGGGACAGGAGCCTCTGAAGTCGAGTGTCTAGAAACGCTGATGACTTTGAAGTCTGTTGGGAGACATTCACCAGCTCAGCTCAGAAACTCTTGCCCCTGCGTGCTTCCTGGAAGTGGTGGCACACCTGAAGCAGGGCTGGGAAGACGTTGTAGACATGGTGCTTAGGGACACGGTTTAGTGGTGGACTTGGCAGACTTGGCAGTGCTAGGTTTACAGTTGGACTCGATGATCTTGAATATCTTTTCCAACCTGAATGATGCCGTGATTCTATGATTCTCGCCCTGCACAGGAGACCTCAGCCTCGTTGGTGCCTGGCAGAAGGCAGCGGGCATGGCGGTGCAGCAGGGCTGGCCTGTGGGAGAGGAGGCAGTGCCTGCTTGCAGACAGGACATTTCCCAGGGCGGGATGTCTGAAGGAAGGTTAGAGCTGGATGAGGCTTTTGCGTGGCCGTTCGCAAGATGGTGGCTGGGTGCTGGCTGCGGCGACATCCCGCAGTGTGCTCCGTCAGGTGGGGACCTGGTGTCGGAGCAGTTTAGGTTGGCCACAGAGGAGTTTCTGATGCTCGCACCTTCATCCCTCGTCCTTTGGTATAGAACCTGTATGGCATATAGGCTAATTTCTTTGACCTGATGTCTTTAGGGTCTTTTCCCAGCTGTGTGAACACCCCTGTTTGTAACACAGTCCGGTTCAGGGAGAGCTGCCCTTCGGCAGCATCATTCCTGTTACATAAGAAACTTTTTCTTCAAAACAAGTCTGCTGGGTTTTTGGTGGCAGGAAGGCGGGTAAACAGCTGAGGAGCCTGTCCGGCTGCGTGACGTGTCATCCCTCACGGCGGAGGTGCTGTGGTCTGCAGCATGTGGTGCCCGGGGATGCATCTCACGGCCATAGCCCAATGGCTACTGCATAAATCATGGCAGCCCCTCCAGGACGCCAGCACGGGGAGGGGAGGACACAGGGTGCTCCCTGAGACCCCGGCGTGCCCCCCGTGCTCTCAGCACTCAGCAGTCCCAAATGCAGGGAAAATGCTCACAAACTCAGGCCCCAGGGGAGAGGGACACAACACTGGTCCCTTGTGCTGCTGGGCGCATGCGTTATTTTGCTTATTTATTTTGCTCATTTATTTTGCTCATTTAGGCAGAGCCAGGGATGACTTGGGGCTTGTTCTTCTTTGTGAATTTGGAGACAGATCTAATACTTCGGCAAATTATTTAAATGACTGTGCCTCCAGTGAGGCAAGAACCAAAGGAACCTGTCCTGCTTAGCAACACTTCCTCTCCCAAAAGGGGGACGATCTTGAAGGGCAACTTCTCTCTGTATCTCTGCAGCACCACAAAGAGATGGGCTCTTCTTCTGGGCATATGTGGGAGAGGAGACGCTTTCTGATCTGGGCAGCTGGGTACAAACCAATAGGATAGTACACGTGCAGGCATTCGATTATTGTCTTTATTTTATTTTAAAATAGTGGTAGGGTAATAAGAACAGTGGGGGATTTTGGCGTACAAAATGGGTTAATAGACCCACCTGTGAGCCAGATTATCTGAAGGACTCTTCTTCACCACCGCTGCGGTCAGACCATGTACCTGAGTGCAGTGGTGTAAGGCAGGAAGCCCCACTGTTTAGAGGGAGCTGACTTGCACCAGCTCCAGAACTGGCCCGCCTTCCCACAGGGCTTTACTGGTGTGTGAGGGCCTTACTGGTGTGTGACAAATCACAGTCCATTATGGCAGGAGCAGCACATGGCGGGGCCGCTGCCAATTATAGGATTGCACAACAGTGGCAGAACAAAAAAAAGTCCATTGTGGTTTCAAGCCAGCAGTGAGCTGTGACGTTCTTTTGTTTCAGTTCCCTTAAATAATGCCGTGTGGGAAGCACAGGCCTCTGGGAAGCTGCTGTACCAGTGCACCCACAAAAGCTGTTTCTTGCCATGGCTGCACTGAGCCGGACCATGGGTCCATGGGTGGGCACAGCCACGGTGGGGAGCAGAGCAGAGCCCAAGGAGCACAACCCCCTTGGAGCAGCCTTCCAGTTTATTTCTGCTTAACACCATTTAAAGTTTGCAAAATTACACAGCTGAAAAGAGAGGAGAATCATCTTGAGATAACGTGCCCTGAGCTTTGTGAGTGTCTGGGCAATGCGGTCTAACCAGGAACATGTTATTGAAAGCCAACACGTGACAAATGCTCAGTATGAAGAACACCAGCAGGCAGGCTTGCTGAAAGGAAATTGAATGTTGCAGAAACGAAATCAAGAGTAGGAGAGAAAGGAAACAAGTTGTTTTTTATCTGAACTCAGTTATTTGTGCTGAATCAGCTTCAAGCTGCTTCTGTGCCTCCCTGTAAGATCGTAAATAAATCTCTTGGTTGTTGGAGTTTGTCTTCTGATCTTCCCAAGGCTGTCTGGTGTTGACAGCTCTTGTGTTGACTGAGAAGCTGTTTGTTTCCCTCTCTCCCTTTTCCCATTTCTGCAGACCGTGGAGTCGGCGGTTCCTGTTGATCCTTGCTGGTCCCAGCACCCGGGCGGGAAACTCGGCTCTATTGTCAGGAGCACAGACCAGTGCTCAGGGTGTGGCCGTGCCGAGCGAGGGCGATGGCGGCCTCGGCAGGCTTTTGCTTTTTTTTTTTTCTGTTTCTTAAATCTGACTCTCTTGTTTGCTCTTCTCTGGCACCTTTCCTCCAGGGATCTCTCTCACTGTTACGAGTAAAGGTTCATAAATCCTTAAGCCTTAAGCGTTAATCTCTTTTCAAGGAAATGGGTTTGTTCTGTGTTAGCGGAGTTTTGGTGGCAACTGCCGCAAAGCTTCAGCCTCAGCAGCTGCTGCTGCACTGCCAACACCTCCGCTATGGTGAGGGAAGAGGCTAATGCAGATTTAAGTAGCTAAGTGAAATACTGCAGCTAATTCGACTTTGAATTGCCAGTGTGATCTAGCACCAGACAGGGAAGGAAACTAAGGAGACCTGCCTGCCTGCTGCTCAGATGTAACCTCCGCTTGCACAAGTCTTATCTGCTGTTTAAATATTACCTAGTGGCCCTACCACTAATTCTTAGACTCTCCCTAACACTGTTCTTTCTCACCTGCTTCCCTTCAAAGCTTAAACATACAATTTTCTTAGCAAAAGATGCACGGCTTGGTCATATACCTCAGTGCTCTGTCGCTGGCAGAGGGGATGACCTGTGTGCCAAGCAGGTGGGGTTAATTAATTACTTCCACAATGCTTCTGAAAGATGATTCTTATGTGTCTGATATGGTGCCCACCAAAGCCAGGGTGGGCAAAGCAGTTCTCCTACTGAGAACAGTAACATTTCATTGAGGATGGGGCTGGACAGCAGAGCCCCTCCATGACACAGCTGAAGTGGAATTGAGTTTATATCAACGTCGTGCTCTCTAATCACAGAATAACTGTGAGGAAACTTAGTTGACTGATTTTTCCTGGTCATAGGTTGTTTACACTAATTATAAATTAGCTGGGGCAGATTATCTGATAAGCTGAATTTTCTGTGAAAGCAGAAAGCAAAGACACTGCGGGTGGCTCATTGTAAGGTCGTTCCTGATTCAGCCCATTGGTAGTCACCAAAAAGCCTTCTAAAGAGCTAAAAAGGATGTAAGAGCGGGTGAAATTCACTACAGAGTTTGTTAAGTGGGTTTTAGCACTCATGAAGATGACAAGATCCTCATAAAGGCCAGTCTTTGCAACTGCTGTCCAGAAGAAGTAGGTATTAGTAAAGTAAATATTGGCCTTGATCACTGTTTATCAGGCTGGTAGAGTATTTGCTGAAGAGCTCTCCTCCATGTGCGTAGGTGTCGTTGCAAATGCCAAGCATACTGTTAGCACAGCTGCACCATCACTTTTTTTTGCAGAAGTCCTTCTGGGGATGGTGACTATGGGTATTTTCTACTATTTATAGTCTTTTTTATAGTCTTGCTATCTTTGATGAGAATTTGAATGTGGTCCATTTCTGGAATTCATCGTTGCTTGCTGGTCTGCCAGATCTTGTTCAGGCGCTGGCTACCTCCTATTTCCCTGTTCCTTACGCCTCCTCTGCACTTTGTCATAATATCTGTATATAGTCAATGCAGCAGATGTGGGATTGAAAAAAACCAAAAGGGAAATCCCATGTGTGAGACACTTGGCGCTTTGCTGGCATGCTGGTGCTTTGCAGCTGAGCCAGCAATCTGATAACCCGTGCAGGGCTCATTATCAGTGACTTGCTGTGAGTCACTGAAATCTGACAGGAGAATTAGGGAATCCAAAGGAGCTCTGCTGGACACCAGCATGGTGACCTGGGATTGCTGGTCTGGCACTGAGCTATCCCTCAGTGCTGCGGAGTCTCCTCTGTACCTTTCCAACGCTCTTCAGTTAGGACAGGAGCTATTTTGCGTGGTTAGAAGATTTTCAGACTATTCTGAATAATACTGTCTCTGTGTTGGGTTTTGGAAGTGCCTTGTTTGAACGATCTCCAACCAGATAAAGAATCACTTAGTGCCCCTAAATCCCACAAAGCAGATTTAACTTAGGGCAAGACTGAATTTAGTAAGCAGATCAA